CCGGAGAACATTGTCGATCGTAATAGCGGTCTTGGCGCTGTGAGACCGGTGCAGAGCACGTCGGAGCAGAATGCGCCGGCAGAGATGGCAGCATCAAGGTGTTCGTGTAAGAGCGAGAAGGGGATACGCAAGTCGTCAGCCAGTGTCCTGAAGACCAACTCGATGAACGCACCAGAACGGGCAGACGAAGTCCACTGAAATCAGCAGTCAGTGATGATACTCTCAGCTACTGATATCAAGCTGCTCACAGAACATATCGATGGTGTGTGGTGCAGTTGCCTGACCAGCGACGATGAGCGGACGGAGAGACGGTTGGAGAGCCATGGCGATTGCTCGGTGATTCCGTGATGGGGGAAGGGGATGACAGTCTGAAGCAAGTTCAAGGGGGCGACACTAGCAGTCTTATGTACCGCAGGACACTCCGCAAGCGATTGCGCTGGCAGTACCGACGATGGCGAGATGATGGTCAATATCAACCGCGTTCGTCAGATTCCGAATGCATGCCTGTCCGGTCCGGTCACGGGTGTGCGCTTCTGAATCGGCCGGCGCCACAAATCTCTTTCTGGTTCGGGCTCCGCCGAACGCAACTTGAACAAGACCTTCCACTTTCGTCTACCACTTGCCACCCAAACGCTGCACTTATCTATCAGCAGAACTCTCTCGTGGTGGTCGACATCTCTGACAGCCATGGACTTTCCCACATTCATCACGCACATCAACGATTCGCTAGCGCATGAGAACGGCATCGGGCTTGCCTACCTTCTCAGGCCGACGAGTCCACACGGGAGAGAATTAGTCAAACAGTATCGCAATCTCTCTGTAAGAATATCTCACCGCCGCTCACTACTCTCTTGCTCATCTGCGCCAAAATATTTATCGCAGCGTCCCGCCCTCCGCCGGTACGAGGGCTGCATAGCGAGCCCATGGGACGAGATTGCCATTCTCTATGTCCTTATATGTGGCCACATACACAAAAGGAGGTCGCCTGAAGCCTTTAGAGACCAAGTACTCCTGGTCAAGTGCGTTTTCTTCTTAATCATCGTTATACTGCACTGCCGCCTGACTAGGCTGCTGTCGCAGTAACTTTCTGCGCTACTTCGTGGAAAATCAGGGATGGACCTTGCAAGCATTGTTCGCCATACTGCGGGACTTACGCGATCTTGCTATCGATGTAAGCTACCCCTTGCCCGTGGAATGTCACTTACATGCACCTAGGCAGACATTCAAGCACGGGCGGAAGGCGGAAAGGCGGATCATATGGAAGAGGCTGCCCGTGTCATCATGAAGGCCTTCACGCATTGTGTAACAGATAGGTTTGCTTTAACGCCGAGTCATAGCCCGTGCTCGTGTGCTGATTTGCATACAGGTCATCTCCCCCGGATAGGTCAAGGAAATGGGGCGTATACTACGTCGCCGGCCTCGTGTTCAAGTGCTACTTCAGGGTAAGCGTATCCTCATTTGTCAATGAATATGAGCTAGACAACGCTGCCCGTAGCTCAAACGTATATCCCTGACCAAAAACATACTTCGTGCGCTGGAGGTGAACCAGGATATACCGTCACTAGACGCGTATCCACGAGCTCATCGAGTAAGAAGTTCTACTGTTCCGGCCGTCTGCTCCCGTGTCCTAACATCTATCGCAGGTTACCTTCCGCTACTATCTCGGCATGCTCAACTTCCTCAACGAGGAGTATGCAAAGGCGGAAGAACAGTTAACCCTCGCCTTTTACAATTGTTATACCGGACATCACGCGAACCAGGAGTAAGCGGATCTCGCCATATTTCTAGAGCACATCTAACCTTCGTGAAGGCGTATTCTAGCATATCTCATCCCTCTTCGTGTACTCAAGGGACATCTTCCATCCAAGGGCTTACTCGCACGTTTTCCTATCCTCGAGGCATTGTACACGCCCTTCGTAGAGTCAATCCGCAAGGGTGACATCGCGACCTTTGACAGCGCCCTCGAAGCCAACGAGCAACGACTCCTTGCGCTCAACCTCTTCCTAACGGTCGAGCGGAGCCGTGAATTATGTATGCGCAGCCTGTTTAGAAAAGCGTAAGCAACATCTTGAGCTGTTCGCTTTGACCTTTGCTCATTATTTTATAGATGGGTCGCTGCAGATAGGACCACACGCATGCCGATCTCGATGTTCCACGCAGCACTACGAATTTCTGGAAGCGACGTGCCCGTCGAGGAGGCTGAGTGCTTTGTGAGTTGGGCCTCGCTAGGGTGCACGGATGAACATGAATGAGCTAAGCTTTGTCAATTCACAAACAGGTTGCGAACATGATCTACAAGGGGTTTATGAAGGGATACATCAGCCATGGTATGCAGATGGTCGTCTTGTCAAAAGCCAATGCGTTCCCGCGGTTGGTCGAGCGGCCGTCGCCATTCTCAGTCTTGTAGCTTCAGAAATATATGAGACGATGTTAGCTGAGAGATATGTGATGGTCGTTGATGCTTGGCCCAGGGAGGCCCAAAACACCGGTTTCGCTGCACGTTTGCCTGAGTTTCTCACGGTTGATCATTGCGCAGCCTTGGTCTGGTGATCGTGGGAACTGGTCTCGGCTGTCTCGAACCACCACCGTCCACTGCCACTGAGGCCTGACCCAAAGCCATTCGGTCTTGCAGTAAGTATACCTTCAGAAGATCGTATCTACTACTGTCATCTGAGGCATAAACTTCTCTAGTCGACATGGCGAGTCCCACCAAGAAATCGCAGGCAGATATCACCGCGCCCTCTATGTCGAAAGATTATAGATATACCCAAGAGATATCACAGATGGTAGACCCATCCACTTCGGCCCTTCGACTGCTTGGAACTGACCTGATGGCCTATTCGATAGATGTTCGTCTTCGGCGAAATACAAGATCCCAACTCGGAGACCGTGAACCTCGTCGAGGACATCGTACGGGGTCAGATCGTAGAGCTCGTACGTTGAACATGCTGAGTTATTGTATTCCGATATCTAAGGGCTGTCATATAGCTCGTGCAAGCGCGTTCCCAGTCTCTCAAGCGCGGCGCACGTAGTATATCCGCAGAAGACCTCATCTTCTTCATTCGCCATGACCGCACTAGGGTTCGTAGGTTTACCGCGTCTTACGATGTTGTCTCTAACGCATCACACTCAGGTCAACCGCCTTTTACAATACTTATCCTGGAAGGACGTGCGAAGGCATGCCAAAGATTCGAATGACGGCACGGGTGGCCTGGAGCCGGGTGACAACATCGACGAGGAAGGAGGTACGTATAAATGAAAATTCGGAACGTGAATATGAACCTCTCAGCAGAGGAGATGAAGACGAAAGCGCAGAAGATTACAATCAGGCTGCCTTGGGAGATTCCGACTGTCTTCTCTGAGGTTCTTAGAACTGACAAGAACCGCGCCGCGTACCAGTCTGACGAAGAAGAGGACGAGGACGACATCGAGGCTTATGAGGCCAGCGTGGCGCGCCTGAGGGTAATTTACGCTCCCTATCTCCCATTGGGTGTCAGGCTAATCATACCTGAACAGGAAGCCGATGAGGTGACTCGCCAGATGACTCGCGACGAGTACGCACACTATACCGAGTGTCGACAAGCATCATTCACCTACCGCAAGGGTACGGCCTCTATCTTCAGGGTCTCATGATGCTGACGGTGATCTGCCTATCTCTCTGCTAGGCAAGCGGTTCCGTGATTTCCTCAATTTACCACCAACCCTCGATCTCAAGACACAAGACGACACGATAGATATCGTCGGCTTTCTCGCCTTTGAGATGGTGCGATCACTGACGCTCGCAGGTCTGTCAAAACGTCCTTTACATCGTGCGTGCCAACTAATCGTGCCTCGCAGGTCTGGCTGTGAAAAAATCGCTTGAGGAGGCCTACCTGCGCGAAGATTATTCGTCTTCGCCTGTACTCGGGAAGCGCAAAGCAAATAACACTATCGGTCCAGAGGGGAAGAGGATGCGAGAGGTAACGCCACCTGGCATGACCGCTCTTGTGGCGCTGGCTCATGATTATTCAGGTCACTCCGGAGGACGATACACCGCTCCCCGTGAATACCCTATTCCTTCCGCCTCCAGAAGCTCGCACGGCTCTCGCGCCTGAGCACATACAGGATGCGTTCTCGCGCATGCAGACCGACTGGTCGCATCGCAGGTCAGCCGGGATGAACAATTTCCGCGGAGGGCTTGTACGCACTCGCGTTTCTATGATTTGACAGACGACTGTTCCGTGCGTATGCCCTCATCGTTTGTGTCCTATCTTGCCTTGTCTTGTCTTGGTCACATATCTGCTATGCATTGCTTCTGTGGAATTTTAGGAGCATTTCAACCTGCGCCCTTGAAACGCGTAGGCCTTCCCTTCAGGACGCAGACTAGATAGGAGGGTTTTCCGGACACATGTACGACTGTTGTCTGTCGAGGTACACCCTCTACCTCTCCCATTCTCATCATCTATACCCGACTATCGCCTCGAAATCAACTACGTCCGAAGGCCTCGTTGAGGGACGCGCTCTTTCCTGACTGGGCTAACTTCTGAGACTTGCTGGGGCAGACCGGTGACCTCAACGGTGATCTGGATTGCCCATCGGGCTGTTCCCCAGGACCCCCCACTGGATGCGGGAGTTTCGAAGCGTGATACCGGAAGTATAGAAGTCGAGGAGGCGGACTGTCCGAGGTCCAATTGGGCTCAAGACTGCCCAAGACTTCCCGAGACCTAAGGCCTGGGGCCTGAGATCTCTATGTCGAGATCTGAAAAGGCTGGCGGGAGTTTCGAAGCGCACGGTGCCTGATCCCAAGATTAATGGAGGTAGCGGAGGCAGAACTTCGACTTGGCCAAGACAATGGAGTAGGCGTGCAGACAACTAGAAGGGCCTATGAGACAAGTGATACAAATGCATTGACTCGGGGTAGGTGGCGCAACAGCTGGCGTCTACGAGCACGAGAATACACGGTGCCCGCCGGCCTCAATCCGAGGTTCCAACTGCGTCCAAAAAGGCAGTCGCGTCTCCGATTCCCCACAGCCGACTTGAACGACTGACCTCCTCATAGTAGATCCAGTGATTGATGTTTACTAGTGAGGCGCTCTACCACTGAGCTAGCAGGGATACAATGCGCCCCCAATAACTGATATTTGACACAAGTGTTCCATCTCAGCACGCGTAAGGTGCATTTGACAATTATAGTTCACAGAATCGCATACAGCACGTATGATACAGCAGTATATTTCATGTACAATAGATGTCATGCAGCTAATTCACAGTCAGTGTCGCTATACAGGCTGTTGCTTCCTGACCATCACATATCGGCACCCAACCCGCCGAGGACGATGAGCTTAGTGTTCATGTACTCCTGTATTCCTTCGCTCCCACCTTCACGGCCCAGGCCGCTCTCTTTGATACCACCGAATGGCGCACACGACTGAGAGATGAGGCCAGTGTTCACGCCAACCATGCTGTAGCAAATGCATCAGTGACAGACGCAGTAGGACCCTTTCCGTCAACTTACCCAACTTCCAGCTTCTCCGCCACGCGCCAAATTCGGCCGATGTCCCGCGAGAAGAAGTAGCCTGCAAGGCCGACCGGCACGTTGTTTGCCAGCTTCACAACCTCATCCTCCGACTCGAACATAGTCAGCGCGGCAAGCGGGCCGAAGGTCTCCTCAGTGTTCAGCTTCGCGTCCGCGGACACGTCCGCGAGCAGCGTTGGCCAGAAGATGTTCGTGTTCTCCACGGCACGGCCGCCAACCATGACTTGCGCACCCTTTGAGATTGCATCCTCAACGTGCTCCTTGACCTTCTCCACGGCTTTCTCGTGGATCAAAGGGCCATGCGTACTGAAAGTATTGATGAGTGGGAGAGTCGATTAACAAAGGAGAAGAAACTTACGTCTCCTCATCTAAACCATTCCCGGGCTTGAATGCGGCAATCTTCTCTGCCAGCCTAGACGCAAAGTCGGCATAAACGGAAGATTGAACGTAGATACGGTTGGCGCAGACGCAGGTCTGGCCGCTGCCGCGGAATTTAGAGGCAATTGCACCTACTCCTTGTTAGCGACATCTCTTCTTGTAAGATGTCAAGAGCTTACCAGTGACGGCGGCATCGATATCAGCATCGTCGAAGACGATGAATGGCGCGTTGCCACCAGCCTCAAGAGAAATCTTCTTCAAAGTGGAGGCCGACATGCCGTACAGCAGCTTTGCCACATTCGTGGAGCCGGTGAAAGTAACCTACACTTCCAATCAGAGGAGGTACGATTGAAGGTTGAACATGAACGTACCTTCCTGACCGCGGGAGACTCGCACATCAGCTTGCCAACGTCCGACACATTGCTCTGTGTGGTGACAATGTTTATGACGCCGTCCGGGATGCCTGCGCGGCTGGCCAACTAGAGACTGCCGTCACTTTTGGGTCGTCCGCAACGACTGTATTTCTGCACGCACCTCGCCCAGAGCCAGAGCAGAGAAGGGAGTTTCATGGGCGGGTTTGATAACGGTCGTGCAGCCAGCTGCCAGAGCAGCGCCAAGCTTGCGAGTGATCATAGCGGACGGGAAGTTCCACGGTGTCAGAATAGAACTAGGTTCGATGAATAACTGAAAGGTGAGAGGGCGCAGGGATGACTCACACAACGCCTATAGAGGATTAGAACGCATTTAGACACTCAAGGAAATACACCTACCGACGGGTTGCCGGATTGTGATGTTGCGCGTCCCGGGTGCAGCGCACGGTATAGTTTGTCCATAAGTGCGCACGGCCTCTTCAGCTACAGATGGAGGTCAGTATAAGCAGCCGTGAATGCCGGAGTAAGCGCGCACCAAACCACTGATGATGTGCGCTGAGGTCAGCATGAGCAATCCAGCGCTAGAAGCGAGCACGGACTTCGAGGAAGGAGGCAGAGTATGTGACTTCTCCCTGGACGCTGAGTGAGTATACAGCAAGCTTATTAGAACTTGTTACTCGCACCTTCGCTTCAGTGAGCGTCTTTCCGTTCTCTAGGGTCTGGAAGGTACGTATTATAAGGGACGTCGCAAAGCTTTGGTGAGGAGAGGCGTACAATCATGCGACCAAGGTCGTCAGTATTCTCTGTCATGAGCGCGTATAGCTTCATCAGCAGGTCATGTCGGTACTGCGAATAATTCCCGTAAGCAATCGTTCACGTAGCAGGATCCCATGTACGCACCTTGGCAGTTGTCTTGCTCCAGGATGGGAAAGCTGCCTCCGCGGCCTTGATCGCCTCCTCGGTCTCCTTCGCACCCATGTCGGGCACGGTTCCCAGCTCCTCAAAGGTCGCCGGGTCTGACTCCGGTCAGTATTCTGAGCTGTTCGAAGCAACTCAGCACGCACTCGTCACCGAGACCGTCTGCCCATCCTGCGCGTCCAACCACTTCCCGTTGATCAGGCCTTGAATTTTGACGAGCGACGGGTCCTTCAGTCCCCACTAGTGATAACCAGCCGGGTCAGCGAACCGCGCGTTCTGTGACGCGCTGGACGGTGGACGCACCGCAGACGCAGCTTTGGTCGACGCCATCCTCAGCGCCGTCGGTATGTGATGGTCAGAGATAAGTCGGAAGCCGGAGGGGCCTGCCAGGCGAGCGAGTCGCGTGAGGCTCATCGTGGTCTGCAGCTGAGCGCGGTGCAATGCTCATCGGCGACGCGCGCGAGTATTGATCTCGACATGACCTCATGCCGTCGGCCAAGGCGCGTGAGCGGCTTCCATTGGACCCACAAACGTCCATCGCGAAACGTTGACCTTCACTCTTCTCCAAGAAGCTCCCCAACCGCAAGGTGAAAGGAGATGAAAAGTAATTCAGGAGGACTGGTATAGTATACTCTACTTCTTCCTGCCCCTTCCTGCGTGCTTTTTGGAACCTGGCTCATCCAGAAAGCCGCCCAGCTCTAAGGCGTCGCGTGCCGCTTGGTTTATGTGCTTGAACCTATCTGGTCCCAGATGGATGCCACCGTAAATTCTACGAGGATATTTTCAGGGCTCAATCGCGCTGATCTCATGCCAGACATACCTTGTCACTACGACGAGGACATTGTTGAGATCCATAATCTGTATCAAGTGAGCCTACAGTGCATGAGCATGGCTTCATAAGGACAGAGAATGCGACGCACTAATCGCGCTCCTGCTGGAGTCTCCCCGTCATCGTCGTAATCTGTCCGTTCAAGTGAGCAACGATCTTCCCCGCACACTATATAGCCGCTAACCTTGTTGCTGTCGCCCGTCCACTTGACATCGCCAGGCATAGATGGTAGGATGTGCAGCCCGCGCGACCTTCTTGTCCTTGAGTAGATGTGCTATGATTATTGGAACCTGAGCGGACGCCAGTCAGATCTACATCAGGATTCAACGAAATGCGCAACTAACCACCGAAGGATGCGTTATGTGCACTGTGCGCCCGATGAACACACTCTTGCGATCCAAGATTGGTTCTGCTTCGAAGATTTCTATGCCGTCCGGCAAAGGAAGTGCAGGAGCCTGCACTCGCCCCACCCTTGACTCCTCTTCCTCGGGCGGAGGAACGTCGTACTCTGGGTGCCGCTCCTTCTCGAATTCGCGCTGTAGTTCGCCGGCCTTGTCAACACTGAGGCGCTCCTTGTACCATTCAGTCAGGCATTCGAGGACGTGCTGAACACCATCGAACACGGCGACAACGCCTGGAGTGAAGTCGACGCCGGAGACAGATATGAAGGTTCGTAGGATGCGACCGAAAAGCTCAGAGTCCGCCTTGAAGGGTCCTGAATTGAGTTCAGATATCAAGTAAGAGATTTATGGACGACAGCAGCGCACCTATATACCGCGACATCAGCTGCAGCTGCGGCGGCGAGACTGCTGGATAGTCGGGGGGCAGAGATACCAGAAGGTCTATATGGACATCCTCATGAGGAGCCAATAGGGTAAGCGCAACTTGGTACCGAAACGTCCGGCCGCCCGCCTGCGATGTCTGCCTCTCGTCCGCGCCCGCGGGCGGCGTCCAGGGAGTGATGCTATCGTCGCCGTAGATTGATTTCAAGACTTGCATAGGGCGTACATTAGGGCAGTCTACGCCGTTGATGTGCCGCCCTCACCCTCCACCTCGGAGGCAACCTCCTCGTCCTCGGGAATCGACTGTACCATCGCGTAGATGATGGTGGATCGAAAGAATAAGGAGAAATACAAATCCTGCCTGTTTGGGAATTAGCAAGGCTCCTGGCTAAGCGCGCGTCTTGCTCCGCGCCACCACAGGTTGCAAACCCCTCTGAACCCGTTATGCCTGCGGAAACCTTGCCAAAGGTACGCGTCGTTGTACGCCTGCCATGGAACAGGCCCGAACAGGCTCCAGAAGATCCCCCAAACGTGCGTCAATCGCCGCGGTAGGCGCCAGACCTCGCTCACACCTGTCCAGGTGCAATGGACCGCCGAGAAGGCAGATATACTGTGGAAAGGTATAGAGCAGTCAAGATCTCGCGACAACAGGGCAAATGACTGTAATTTAATACCTTTACCTGTGGAGCGTCGGCTGACAGCTTCTAGATAAAGCGCTTGCCGCGCGCCTCGACGTCCCACTGCCCTACCTGCTCTACCGCGTACACGCGAGATTCCAGGAAGAGCTCAAGGGGCTGCAGGATCTCCAAGGAGCGCTGAGCTCATTGCCTCCGAATGGCTCTCCTGAAATACCTCTTGCCCTCCCGCAAACCGTTGCCAGTCGCGCAGCCGATCGCCTTGGTCTCTCATCATCATCACGCCTCTCCACCCCCTTGGGCGTACGTGCACGGCTCAACTCTTTAGGCCATAACACATCCAGTCCACACAAGACCGCCTCATCATCCACCTTGACCATCCAGAAGCCCTCCGCGCCGCTACCTCACTCACACCCATCACCTACCGCGTCCTCTGACGGCTCCGGATCCGACTCAGAAGGCTCGGCGGAGCGCGAGGACGACGCGGGCCGTAGTCTCGAAGAGCAGGAGGCGCTCGACCGCAAGCTCGCGGACCTGCAGCGCATGATGACGAACGACGCGCTCGGCCTCGTCAGCGCACCGCGCGCCAAGATCAAGGGGAAGGCCCCCGCACCCCTCACCGACCTAGGTCCCCGCGGGCGCGTAGCGGAAGTCGTGTCTAGCCGC